AGCAACCTCCAGCTCTTGGGCTTAAGTGATTCTCTTGCCTCAGCCTCCCAAGTAGCTGGGACTACAGGTGCCCGCCACAACACCCAGCTATTTTTGGTTGCAGTTTGGCCAGGGCTGGGTTCAAACCTGCCACACTCACTATATGAGGCTGGCGCCCTACCCACTGTGCCACAGGCACTGTCCCCCTTTTTTGTATTTTTTATATTTTAATTATCCTGAACTTTAGAAGAAAATGATCTATTTTAAATGTACTAATCTATTTGGAAATCTTACGAAGTCTTACCTACTCAGAGAATCCATCTCCCTAGTAGCCCAAATCCTTCATTCTGTGCATGTTCACATTTATGTTTCTTTTCCATGTCCACCATATCCAAATTTGGTCCCTTATCATTTCTGGTCTGGACTACACGCAACAACATCACAGGTACTCTGCTCACTCTTTTCTCTTTATAATTTAACTACATAACATTACCACGTTAATCCTCCTAAAACATTACTTTGACTGTAAGTCCTAAAACTCCACACTTCCTAGACAAGTCCAAACTCTTAACCTGAGTATCCCAGGGCAATCTACTCTATCTTTTCCACCACTCCCACTGTACCCCTAAACTTGCCGCCTCACTGTATTTTCCCCTCTGTATTTTCTCATCTCTGAGACTTTCCTATACTCTTAATATCACTGTTTTTACCTATTAAATCCCACCCTTTACCAGCTACCTCAACTCACTTAATAACAACAGCTAACAACTGAGCACTTACTATGTGCCATGCACTGTGCTAAGGGCTCCACATGTATTTATTAATTTAATCCTCAAAACCACCCTACAGTAAGTAGTATAATCGTAGTAGCCCCAGCATGTCATAGAGCTCCAGGTCACACTGCCAGTTAAATGGCCTGCTGAACTTCTTTTTTTTTTTTGAGACAGAGCCTCAAGCTGTCCCCCTGGGTAGAGTGCCATGGCTACACTGCTCACAGCAAACTCCAACTCCTGGGCTCAGGCGAGTCTCCTGTCTCAGCCTCCTGAGTTGCTGGGACCACAGGCGCCCGCCACAACGCTCGGCTATTTTTTTCTGGTTGCAGCCATTATTGTTGTTTGGCGGGCCCAGGCTGGATTTGAAACTGCCACCTTAGGTGTATGTGGCTGAGCCACTTGAGTCACAGGCACCGAGCCACCTGCTGAACTTCTAACACAGGCTCCAGAGTCCAATTTCAATGATCATACTATACTTCCCACTAGTTCTGAGAGTCTTCCTTTGATCATTCAAAGAGAAAGTGACCTTTCTGTTTTGAACTCCTAAACACATAAGCCAATTAGAATTTGCATTAGCAGCTCGGCACCTATGGCACAAGTGGCTAAGACACCAGCCACATACACCTAAGGTGGCGGGTTCAAATCCAGCCTGGGCCTGCCAATACAACAATGATGGCTGCAACCAAAAAATAGC